GTAGCTAACAAAGTGAGAAAGAGCCTGTGGCATAGAGGACTAATGCTTCTGCTTAACATGCAGACAGCCCAGGTTCGAATCTCGGAAGGGTATGTCTGACTGATGAAAACCAAACAAGGTTAGAAATAGCTATCTCAGTACTCCCTTAATTCTTTGTTAGCATTCCAAATTTTGAAAAAACATATATATATATATATGTATATATATATATATATGTATATATATATATATATATATATATATATATATATATATATATATATATATATATATATATATATATATATATATATATATATACACACACATACATACACACACACATTAAAACAATGTCTCTCCAATTTTGGCTTACTCTGTGATAATGTTAGCAGTGGCTAACGGAAGCTCAGTGCAAAATATATTTTCCGTCCCGGAGATTGATATGTCTTCTGTTTTACAAATAAATGTACCTGGGACTCGTATTTTTAAAATGGTTATGTATGTATGTATGTATGTATGTATGTATGTATGTATGTATGTATGTATGTATATGCATATGTATATAGACACACACACTCATATATATACCTATATATTAATCAAATGTACTAATATCATCTTTTAAAATGCTAACAATGAAGCCTAATATTTGAGGCCCTCCTGATGAAATCACAGCACCACCCTTCGCCAAAAGAGGGAGTCAAGCTATTCTCCAAAGCACCTGAAGGCAGAACAAGAAGCAATGGATGGAAACTAATCAAGGAGAGAAGCAACCTAGTACTAAGGAGAAACTTCCTGACAGAACAATTAATCAGTGGAACAATCTGCCTCCAGAAGTTGTGAATGCTCCAACACTGGAAGTTTTTAAGAAGAGACTGGACAACCATTTATCTGAAATGGTATATAGGGCTTCCTGCCTGAGCAGGGGGTTGGACTAGAAGACCTCCAAGGTCCCTTCCAACTTTATTATTATTGTTGTTGGTATTATTATTATTATTATTATTATTATTATTATTATTATTATTATTATCTGCCCCACTCCCCTTCACAACCACAACGACGGACTTATACCTTCGTCAAAGAGCATCTGGCGGTTTGTTTGCAGCCTTTCCTCAACAGAGGTCGGCACAAGCGTAGTCACTTCCACCCACCATCTCCCTTCCCTCTTGGAAAAACTTCGCAGATTCTCTTACCTCTTTAAATTCTTCCTGCGTCCCAATCCCCTCTGAGTCGCGAAAGAAGAAAAACTAGGATTCTCCGTGAGCAGCAAACCTGTTTTCCCTCAGTCTCACCACTGCCTCCCCCTCCTCCGAGGAGCGCGCCAAGCTTCCGAGAAGGCACCCAACCCTCCGCGCTCGCGCTAAAATTCCAAACGGCCTCGCCCATTTCCGCCTTTACGTCATAATCGCGACGCGTACGCACAGACGCCCGCGCTCAACCCCCCCTCCCCCCCGAGTCTCGGTGTCCGCGCGCGCTTGGCAACCGAATTCGGCTTTTATAATTGCCACCTGCTGTGGTCTTCAGATTCACCTGTCCCTTGTTTCGTTTGTCTCCCGAATCTCCTTAAAAGACGGTTATTTTTTTCCCCTCAGAGCCATCGTTCTGTATCTAGTTTCATCGTGTGCTGCAAAACTCAGGACCATCATAGGGTGGCGGCAAAGAACTGAAGGTTATGTGTATTTATGCCTATTTTTGTGGCATAAAAATACAGTACAGCAGCCTTAGCTAAAAGATAACGTGTTTGCTATGCTCAGTTTTCTGTAGTGAAACTTTAATAAAACGTTGAACAAGGATGCGTTAGGGCAGGCTCTCTATTCATTTCAGCAAAGCCTTATTTCGTCGGTAAAGAATATTAATACCATGGGGGGGGGAATCTAAAACTCTCCACAATATTTACGCCATGCTGTCACTGGGGGGGGGGGAGATCCATTTGTATTAGTGGGATTTAGGATTGTACTATCAATTTTTAAAATTGCAAGTATTTATTTCTAAAATATATTGTCTGCAGTACAGCAGATGCTCTTGGACTGATAACAGCTTTCCAATGTTGAATGACAAGTCTCAGCAATAAGAAAGGTATGAAATACGTTGTCTAGCCATCTATTACCATATAATAGATATATTGATCAAAAGAATATAGTTGTATGAAAGTATTAAACTATGTTTCAGACACAAATTCATATGGGTAAATGACTTATTCCCAGAGTATAAAAATTTTAGAACAGTGGAAAAACCTGTTTCAATGAAGCAGCATTCCCCTTTCCACTCTAGCATGATGATTTATTGATTCTTTTCTACACAAATGCAATGGGGTACAATAAGTACAAAATATTTTTGTAAATATTTCGTAAATTAGATCTATTGACATTTTTGATACAGAGGTTAAGACGGTTTCCTATTGTTTAGATAAAATAGGGGTCTCTAATTCCTTTTTAAAATGTGCATATCAAAATGATTAATCAATAAAATGTATAAAGACTAATGGGCTTCATAAGATTTAATCATCTCTTCTAATCATTTAAGTATCTCTGAAGCTGAAAATGCTAATGGTCCAAATTATGATGGCAATAGATATAAATATTTCCAGTGGCCAGCAACAAGCAAGTACTATTTATCCTTTAATGTAAGAAATGAAAAAGATTTATCCAATAATTGATCTGAAGATGCCAACATTCATCTGTATTTCTAGATTCCATAGTATCAATTTTAGAATGCCATGTTTAGAAATAATGTAATACATTTATCTAGCATCTAGAAAATGTTGAAGAAATTAAGCAGTAAGCTTTTAGTTTCTGCATAATATATTTAGTTTATGGAAACCACAGCAATGGAAGATATTCAGTGGGATTTTTAAAAAAATATACACAAATATACAAGGCTGAACAAGGATACCACAAGTATGCAAGACACTGAGAATGGTGGATTTATTCTTATGTAAAAAGACATTGGTGTCTGGGCCTCCAGACATATAATTAGATGAAAAACATAGACTGCCTCCTAATCTGTGGAATTCACAGGGTATGTCTTGGGGGGAAAAGCAATTTCTAGCTTCTCAAACTCTTTGTGTAGTACGGTCACAGAAATACTATTAGTCCTTGGAAAATATGGTTGACCAAAGCTTTAAAAACTAACATGCAATGTTTTTCACTCTTTAAAAAATGAAAAGTTTTTAATGACAAAATAAAACATAGAGAAAGAAAAAGACACAGTCATTTATATTGGGAATGCAGTTGTTGGTCTTTAAACTTAACACCAAAGATTGCCTAGAATGTTAGATCTTGCTGTTGGAAGTTCTGCAGACCAATATTGTGTTTCAGCATTTTCCAGAAGAGCAGCCGCCTAGGAAAGAGTGAAGACAAGGGAACCATTATTTTATTTTCCAGCTTTGCCATTTACAGAGACTGACTGCAGGACAGCATGAGATGATTTTGGAAATGTCAGTCCTATTCCTCACATAATTAGCTAGGAATCCACTTCTCCAAGATTCAAAATTATTCACCTTCCTTGCGTATATGGTATTCCATAACCCAGTACAGTTTTTTAAACAAATGAAAATACTCAAAAGCATATAGTATTGTTTTAAACAGTAATAATATATTTATCGTTACTTCCTTCAATGATGCTGAAATATATAACTGATTTCTGTTAGCAATCCCTAATACTTTTCACTTAAGCTGAAATCCCAGAGCCTTCAGGACAGTGATTTGCTTAAGATAATACACCGGTTATGTTTGTTTTAACCATGGTTTGTTGATCACAACAGCTAGCTTCACACATCATGTTTTGCAAATCACAACAGCTGGTTTCACCCACAAGATAAATAAATCACATTATAACTTAGGAACCTAGCGAAGATTTAAATATAACTTTTGATGATTGTATGGAATTTTTAATTTTACATAAATGCCTAGAAATGCAGACAGAATGCATGTTTTGGCTGATGGTGGGTATGAAGGTGAACAGAAAATCAACATAATAGGAGATATATGTATTTCACCTTCTTAAATCTTACCTCTATAGCCATTTCCCAGGTATCCATTCATTCCATACTTTGATTCCTTCCCTCCTAAACCAAAAGAAAAAAAGATACCAAAAGATTTACCTCTGGACAATGAATTTTTCTTCTGTTCCTCTTACATCATATCCTTGATTGTTAATACTTCTTTATAATCCTAAGAAGTTTACTATTTAATAAATAATATGAACAAATGTTACACTTTCATATCTGTGTGCAAACTGCAGCACTCCAAAAGATGAATACAAACAACTTAATCATACTTTCCTAACATCTATCTAATCATAACATAAACACGTCCTGGAAGCATTGTTTTTCTATCACATCTCTGTAAAGTTGGCTTCATCTCAATCCCCAACCCATGAGTGAAATAAATCGAAGCCGTCTTTAGCAGTAACGGGGTTAAAGTGATATTTTCTACTTCTATCCAAGGGGTAGCCTCAAAGTATGGTGTTGTGTCCTGAGCCTGCATCTTGCAGGCTCGGGACGTTGCAAGAGTCCCGGGCATTTGCAGAAGCTGCCCGGGACCAGACTGAGCGGCGCCGGCCTTGTGCGCATGCGCAAGGTGGGAAAAGCCCGCCTCATGATTGGTTGAACTTGCCCGGGGATCAGAGGGTATAAATAGAGGCCTGCGTGCCTCTGCTCTGGTTGTTCGTAGAGTGGAGCAAATAATAAAGACTTGTTGAAGATGTATCGTCTCAAGCGCCATTATTCCCAGGACTTAACACTGGCGACGAAGGTGGGATTCAGTCTCTACAGCTAAGAAAAGCTAGAAGACTCACCCAAAGAAGTCCGGGAAAGAAACGGCGTGGAAGTTAGCGTTATCTTGCCAGTACGAAATCGCTGGAGGGTGCCTGCGACCGAAGAAGAAGGAATCTTGATCATCGATCATGGAAAAGGTTGGGCAATTAGAGGCTTTCGACGTCTCTCACCCCGAGAGGTGGGAATCTTACGTGGCAAGAGTCGAGACGTATTTTCGCATCAACCAGATTCGAGAGGAAGGCTTAAAGGCTGCCACATTGTTGTGCGTTTGTGGGCAAGACGCCTTTGAGAT